GATTTAATTAATTTACTCTAACATATACTGATAATTAAACTTCTAATAACAATATTGGTTCAAATCATTATTTTTATTTAAATAATAGTGATAAAAATTTAGCTATGAGAATATAAAATTTGAAACCTCACCCATAACAAATTATTTCATTTAAATTACATCGTTTCCATTTTGCAAAAAAAAAAAAAAAAAAAAAAAAAACTTATAATTATAGTTATTACTTCTGAAATTGAATTTCAAATATCTTTTTAAAATTTACTATGAGTTGGCATGAATTTTAAATCCAATGAACAATCAACAAAGCCCGCCAAATTTGATAAATTAGTAGGGCTATATCAATTTGAGCTTTTAAATTCAATATATTTTGAAGTTGTGATAACAAAAATCTTTAGAGAATTCTCAAGCCTGATCAACAGTTATTCCATGCAACATGGCCCAAAGTTATAGGATAGATAAGTGAGCTAAATAGAAACTCCAATGATGAACTAGTCACAACCTCGTCTCCTCCAACTTGAGTTCCATCAGGGTCACGATTTAACTACATTAATTCATATAAGCTTATAGATTGGAGATAAATCATTAGAGGGGCCTACGCATTAAATAAAAATTAAGTATTACAAGCTCCATTAAGAATCAAACAGCTCTCTAAAAAATACATTATAAAATAAAACCTAGAACCTTTGATTCAGCTATTTACATACCAAGTTTATAGAAAAACAAGAAAAACTAAGCATCTGTCTAGAAAACCTCCTAAAAAGGAGAACGAAGAATACATGCGAAGTGAATCTCTAGTTTACTAATTCACTAGAAGCCGTTTGAAGTCAATTTAAAACGTATTTGGCATCAAATTATTTCTCCCTGATTCAGACATTGTTAATGATTTCATCCAATAGGCTTCGTTTGCGACGGCTTTCTTACTGCTTCTTAAACTTGTTTACTAGTGTAAAAAAATTGCTTTAAGAAACAATAAGAAAGACATCACAAACGAAGCCTAAGTCGATAGCTTCATCTAACAACAACATTAATCAATTACTAAAATTTGTTTTACTTGTATTTCATCACATATTATATAGTTTTATTGCAATCAACCATTCGAAATTTGCTTTGTATTTTTTATTTTGCATAGCTTATTAAGCTTAACTATAGCTTTTCATATAATGATAAACACTACCATGAACCTACAAATAGGGGCTAGGGGTGCCTAATTTAACAAATCATTGCTCCTCAAGTCTGCAATCTACTAAGTCCAAAACTCGATTGATTCATCTAAACAATATAAAACTCTAAATCCATTTTTTAAATGAATTTGTCTAATATTGCATCTTGATTGTTTTAATAGAAAATTATAATTCCATCCAAATTGTTAATGTTACTAACCAAACTATAGTTAATAAAATATAATAGATTTGGTTAATTTTTAGATTATTCCACTCTAATTTTTTATTTTATCGTCATACTGAATAAACAAAATAGGAATAGTCATTCATGATATGATCATTTTCCCACAATCCATTCAAGGGAAAAACTTAACCATAAAACTTAAATAATTATGGTTCTAATCAATATTTTAAAATTTGTACCGGATCCAGCCACAAGGTCGGTCTGGTCCACTCTGAAAACTGCTTCTGCATCAAACCGGATTGAACCGATCGATCAAACTGTCGGTTCTAGTTCACTGAACCAACCGGTTCAATTACTACAAATATTAAAGATTAAATAATAAATAATTCCATTTAATAAAAAAATTAATTTATATTTAAAACAATTAATTTAAATTAACATGAAATTTTTATTATAAATATTTGCCCCAAACTACCATGAAACATCTTTATATGGCCCCACCATTCCATATGAGCACTTAACATAAGAAAACTCAAAAAATATATATATAAACAATAATAAGAAAGAGTTTCAAAATGATTTGGGATTAAAGAGAAAAGTTGAGGTACACATGAGTTCATAACATATATTATGTCTATAAAATTCATTTTTAAATGATTATTTATAATATGAATAATATTTATTTATTAGTTAATAATAATAATAATAATAATTTATTTATTTATACACTACTATAAAAAGTAAATTCACTTTGTAATAGGTGATATAAGAATTTGCAATAATTAGCTAGCAATTTGATATTCCAATTTAATTGAACTTTTAAATTAGCAATCAGATTTGCAAATCTATGTCTCTCTAATCTCTCAACATGCTAGTCACATGCCAAAAAATTTAAGTCAGTAGAGTATGCATTTTACGTCTTAGCATTGTACAAAATAAATGTGGCTGACATGAATAGACCATCTCATATAAGTCAATGTATAGTCAATTAATAGCGACAGAGGAGTTGATCCGTGGATCCCAATAGTTAAGCAATGCTTCTTATCGAAGAATAGAGTAAAAATAAATAAATGCTAGAGTTCACGAAAAGTTCATACATAAAATTATGAATCAATAATAATAACAACAACAACAACAAGCCTTTATCCAACTATGTGCGGTTGGCTATATGAATTATTTTTCTCCATTGTGTTCTGTTAATAATCAAATTCTTATCTAAATCTAAGAAAAAAATGTAATTTTTCTTATCTAAATCTAAGAAAGAAATGTAATTTTTAATATTTTCTAACCAATCTACAATTAAAATTTGTTAGATAGTGCAAGTCTAATATTCTAATGAATTAAGTTTTTTTTATTATTAGTATAAGAAAAATAAATAAAATAGAACTGAAGTATAAATATTTTTAAATATGATTTTGATTATTTTTTTTATGTGCGATTACACAATAGTTGGACTTGGTTTTAAATTACCAACCACTAACGCGACGGAGGTTTGTTCTGTAAATGTTCATTTATTTTCGTTATTTTTTATTTATAAATCGTCGCGTTAGGTTACCAAGCTCAGACATATTTGTTCAAAAGCAGAAACGTTTCGGTGGCCCCACAGGTGATTTTTCCTTCACGTGGCGCTGTCTGTGACTCGGTCACCGCCGCCCGCCGGCCCCATTACCAGCTCAGTTAAATTGCACGGCTACATATCTATCAATCGTTCAATTAAAGGTCAAATCAAACGGCAGATATTCGTTGATTTGATCCCTCCAGCTTTAGAGTCCAATATTTTTTATTTAATAAATATAAAAAAATAATAGTTAGAGTCTCTTATTCTCTTAAAAATTGGACTGATCGAAGTTAATTTTATAAATTATAATTTAAGAAAATAGAGGTGCTTAAAGCTTCGAAATAATATATAAATAAATAAATAACATTAGCGGTTTCTTGAGCGCCTCGTATATTTCCGCCATCTTGAGCTGGGAGATGGCGGGCATCGAAGGCCCTCTTTCCTCGTTCTCCCCATCTTCTTCCTCGTAGCAATTTCAAATTCCCCGCGTTTTGCTCTTTCTCACATGGTGGTTGCCTTCTGCGGATTAAGTACGATTTTTCCTCTCTTTCTCCATTTGTGTTGCATTTGGACATTAATTATTATATTCTATCATCTTCTTCTCCTCATAGTTATTTCTCCTATGAATGATTGCTTCCAATGCCGCTTTGCCAAGCAATATCAGATGCGTTTGGTGGACGCTTCTCTTCTTATTTACTGCAAGCAAAGCCCTCCATCGTTGCCATTCTTAGGGTTTGAGTGTGCATCACGGTCGTTTTCCCCCTTTGACTTCCATGGCGAAAGCTTGCAAGCTTCTTCTTCTTTGGAGTTTCTTAGGCTGAGGGATTGCTGCTTTCCAATTTCTATCTTTCGCTCTCAGAAGCCGTGATTGGACTATCTTGGCTGGAGATGGAAGTTCGGATTTGGTCATCGCGGGTCTTCCTGCTCTTTTTCTACTTTTTGTCGATTGGAATCGCTGAGCCAGTGGAAGATAAGCAAGCGCTGCTCGATTTCCTTGCGGAGGTGCCGCACGGCCACTCGCTGAACTGGAGAGAAGGAACTTTGGTGTGTGGAAACTGGAGGGGAGTGTTCTGTAATCGAGATCGCTCCCGGGTCGTCGAGCTTAGGCTTCCTGGGGTCGGGCTCAACAGCCGAATACCTCCGAATACGCTCAGCAGACTCACTGGGCTCCTCATTTTGAGTCTTCGTGCCAATGGTCTCACTGGCCCCTTCCCGGCCGATTTTGTCAACCTTGCTGCTCTAACGGGACTACACCTTCAGCTCAACAGCTTCTCCGGTTCTCTCCCAACTAATTTTTCGGCGTGGAAGAATCTTACGCTGTTGGATCTCTCATATAATGATTTTAATGGGAGCATCCCCGCTTCCATCTCCAATCTCACTCAACTCGCCGCTTTAAATCTCTCCAACAACTCTTTATCTGGCCGAATTCCGGAAATCCAACTCCCAAGGCTTCAGTTTTTGAATCTCTCCAATAACCACCTTAATGGCAGCGTCCCAAAATCACTTCAGAGGTTCCCAAATTCCTCCTTTTCAGGCAATGAGCTTACTCCAGTTTTTCCGGCTAGCCCTTCGCCTTTACTACCATCACAATTGTCTCCTTCGGACCCACCAACAGCAAATTCCAATGTTTCCAAAGGGAAGATTACTGAATCTGCGCTTCTTGGAATTGTACTTGGTGCTACTGCTCTGATGTTCGTGGCCTCTACCATCTTACTGGTGCTGTGTTATTTGTGGAAGCATAATAGGACTATTGCCTCAGGGAAGGAATCAAAAGGCCATGAGTCTCCGGAGAAGGCTGGGGCTGTGAGTCAGGATGAGAATAACCAGCTTGTCTTCTTTGAAGGTTGTACCTTTGCATTTGATTTGGAAGATTTGTTAAGGGCTTCAGCTGAGGTGCTTGGGAAAGGTACTCACGGGGCAGCATATAAAGCGGTGTTGGAGGACACCACGATTGTGGTGGTGAAGAGGCTCAAGGAAGTTTCGGTTGGGAAAAAGGATTTTGTGATGCAGATGGAGGTGGTGGGTCAGGTTTTGCACGAGAATGTGGTGGAGTTGAAGGCTTATTACTACTCAAAGGATGAAAAGCTTATAGTATATGACTACTATAGCCGGGGGAGTGTTTCATCAATGCTACACGGTATAACTTATTTCTGTTTAGACCTTTGTGCTCTCTAATGGTTTCCGACAACATAATTTTCATTATACTGAAGTGTGACGCAAATTTGGAAAAACCTTTATTTAACGAATATGCAAACCTTTTTGGCTCGGTGCTTAGACTACACTTTGGTTTAATTCATTTCTCATCAATTTTGTTACTTTTATTTTTTATGATTCCTTATTTCAGCACATATCCTATCCCCTTTTTCTAACTATTTATTTATAAGTAGCGATACCAATATAAAATCCGACACAAAAAATTCAGATTTTAGTCAGCCCATGTAATATTTGGGTCGTTTTGAGTCAGCATAAGTGACTCCATAAAAGCAAGTTAGATTCAATTCAACAAAAAATAAAAAAATAAAAACTTTGCTATTTAATTCTTTTTTTTTTACAAAAAACTCATGAACTTGTATATTTTTATTATTTTTCTGAGTTAGTGTGTTCATTTTGTGTATGATTGACATTAACTTGTCACGAGACTCACAACTTACAATATTTTTCATGTTATGTTGGTTTGTGTTTGATTTATATCAAGTTAGGTTTGCATTAGAATTTTTTGCATCATTTAGTAAATGTGTCGTGTTTGTATTGACTATATTTGGTCCGGTCATTTTCGAGTCAAAATTGGACCCAAATTGGCAATAAGTCACTAATTTGGAGGTCATGGATTGGGAAGATTGTTGATTGTGGTGGGTGGTTCTTTGGAGTCAAATTCTTATTTTCCTTTTTATTGTTCATCCTAGTATCAATGTGGAATGGATTGGGTAAACCTTTATGCTAATGCATGAAGAGTTCTCAACTATTTTTATTCAAGATAACTTGCTTTCTAAACCTATGTTGAATGTGAACAAAACTAGCAATCACCTTGGCTAGCAATAATAACGATATCGTACAACAAATGTAGTCCTAGCAATCACCTTATTTCAATGCTTGATTAGTTACCATACAACAGCCTCTAGAATTTGTCTTTGACGAATGAAAGTCCTGGTGCAGCTCCTCCAATTTCATATTGGGTTGTTGTAATACTCATTAATCCTTCAGACGTGAGAATTGTCTCCGTAGAACAAGGTATCTTAGAACTCTAGCATCAGAGGTGAGCAATCTAATCATCCAAGAAATAGTCTAGAACATATGATCTTAAGCATTGAATCAGCAAGGGTGTATAGGCATCATAAGACCTACGGATAATTGATATCTCAGAAGTGGGAGAAAATGATGATGATGAAATTCACTAAGAGGGAGGAGGAAAAGTATCATGATCAAGCGTCAGTAAAAAGTTAGAGTCATCATTGCTAAACATTATTCTCAGGTAGATCTAGTTACTATACATTGATTTTTATCTTCTTTATGACTTTGAAAGGCTCTAAAATCCTTGTTTATAATTTCATGAGAGTATGGCAAAAATCTCTCAAGATGAAGTTGAACAATCAGAACATTCAATAAATTGCCTAGATGGTTAACGGCCAGTTTGTACTAATTATAATTTACTGCAATTTTTTATTGAAACTTTAGCATGAAGATCATGCATGTGCTTTGCAAATATGGATGTAGACTCACTAGTCTTAGAAGAAATGGGGATCTCAACCATATCAATGGATTGATGTGGTTCACATATGATAATAAGATGGAATGGGCTCAGTTTACATCCTATTGATGGAATAGATATAGGTAAGCTCAATAACTGATAAGATCTGGCCTTATATAGAAGTTTGGTCACTAATCAAGCATCAAAGTCTTCTAATCTTCCATTTACTCCCCCAGCATATTTGTTAATATGGGGTGATGGAAAATTGAGAATAGTTGCTTGGTCTTCCGAATATTAACCATGACTCATATTTCTTGAACATAAATAATGGCCTTTAACAGACCATTCAATCTCATTACTTCTTGTTCAATGACCGTGGGACCTACAAATCAATTAATCATGACAAGGATTGTTGAGCACACAAATTAAGGATTTTAATCATCAGATCAATCCTTTCATGGCCTTTAGAGTGCAATCTATATGCCTCTTCTTTCTCTTATAGCCGTTGACCTCTCTTGGGGAATTTTTTTTTTCCAGTAGGAAGTCTTTTGAAAATGCTTATATAATTTTGTAAACTTTGTACAAAATCAAGCAATAAATTTCAAATATTTTTTCTACTTTTTTATTTTTTTATGTGGTATCACAACGAGATTAGGGTTTCCTTTTTCCAACCTTTATTATATTTCATTTTTGTTCAGATCCATCCTTCTATTTATTATATCTAATTTTTTTACTTTCTTCCTATTACTCAACCATCATGAATGATAAAAGTAATGGAGAACTCTAGGGCTTCAAGTCTCATATCGCTTGAATGAGAGAAATTATTTGAAGTGGTCGTAATTTGTGAAGGCTATGAAAAGAAAGGGAAATATCTATCACCTTATGGATCTTCCTTTTGAGCTAAAGGATCCACACTTTTTTACTTTTGGATGAAGTAGATTTTATAGTCATGCTATGGTTATGAAATACCATGACACCTAAAATTAGTGGATCATATATGTTCATTTCTATCGCAAAATAAGTTTGGAAGGCCGTCAAATAAATATACTCAAAAGTGAAGACTACCAACCTCATCTATGAGATCAAAATTAATATTTCAATAACTAATCGAGGTAATATTCTGTTAGGAAATACTTGAAGAATTCAAGGAAACCCTAACAAGAGAGATGAAAACAGCAAATTTCTCACCGAATTCAATGGGAAAATCAACAAATAGCAATGTTTATTGATGAAATAAAACTAACGGAAGAAACAAAGCAAGATACAATTGATCCTCAATTCGAGATGAGGATCGTTATCTCCCAATCGCTAGATGAATCTAGGGTCCAAGACACTAAGAACAAGAACTTCAAAATCAGTCACAAAACAAGCATAACCCTAACCTTGAACAACTCTTACTATTTAATACATTAATTCCCTAATTTCAAACTCTTAATTCTAAATTTCCCTCCCAAACCTAGCCGCCCCCTTCTCCTTCCCTAATTGGCTGCCTAGTGGGGTCCACTAGCTTGGGTGGCAAAGTCAAAGGGGGGCTGTTTTGTCCGCCTCCTATAAACAAGAGCCGGCCCCCTTGGGTTGACTGGGTCGATTCAGTGAGAACCGGCCTAACAATACCTCCCTCTGATGGGGACATCAGTTGGAAAGTCTACCGTCGACGTGGCCGTAGATCTACGGCTACGATTTACCCGATGTATTTCTGATTTTAGTATGATCATTTTATTTTGATGTATTTTATTTCTGCACTTTTCCCTTTTTACTCTTGCTTGAGGGATTGAGTCTTGTAGCCCCTCGAGG